ATGTATAGTTTACAACATGAGCGGCCGTGTTGTATGGAAATTACAATCTCGAGCTGCAGGCGAGAGATTGTAATTTCCATACAACACGGACGCGAATGTTGTAAACGACTTATAAAACTTCAACACAAATTAACATGAATTACAGTGAGATAAATGACGACAAATGACAAATAAGGTAACTGCTGAGTTTAGTCCCTATTAAGCATGCGCAATTTACTGCAACACAGAACATTTTGAATAATTATCCATCCCACATGGAAAGCAAGCCATCTGTTGCATAAACGAGTTCTGTTATCCGTCTTTGATTGCTTCAAAACMTAGTGAAGGTCTATGATGCGACACTAAAACTGAGACCTTTGCTAGTGTTGGGTTGTCTCATTGTTGACGACCGTGTTGTAAAGCTGATACAACACTAGTAGTTGTATCAGATTTACAAGGTCAATCACCTGATTAAATGGTCAGCCCTTATTGGAGCAATAGCTTATGCATTATTAATAAGTTTTATAAATAATAATATTATTTATTATTAAATTAATATAATAATATTATTTATTATAATAATATTATTTATTATTAAATTGTTGCTTTTCTTCTTTCCTTGCTGTTCTTACTTTATTAAATTAATTCTTTATTATTAAATTAATATAATAATATTATTTATTATTATCATTATTATTGCCTTTTTTTCTAACTTTAGGTTGATTAGCTTAGCTTTTATGATATAGCCATTTCTTTTCAGTGTCTATTTAAAACTACTCCAGTAACCGCAATGAATGTGACCTATGAGTACTGATAAGTTTCTATGTTATTTTACAGGTTGTTGTAACAAATACTGTAGCACACGACTCGAAGGCCGTACGATGTAGTAAGATCAAGTCCATTGACATTAGTCAGTTACTTGCTGAAGCAATCCGCCGTATTCACAATGGAGAATCTATGGGATATCTCTTTAGAAATGTACCACTTGAGGACTAAAGCAAGGATAAGCTAATGTATATGCTTTACTTGTTGTAAAAAGGAATTATTATTGTCTTGTTTTGGGTAAAACTTTGCTGAAGAGAAAACAGAAGAAACTGTTAACTTAGCTTTCTGAGTGAGCAATGATTGTATGGTGAAACCCATTCGAGGTTACTCGTTACTCGATTAAATGTGCTGAATTCGAGTGAGATCAGTCCAATCTTTTGTTTCACCTCTTTATCACCAATTTCATTGACTTCGGAACATGCGAGATACGACGTTAGAAACATAATCCTTCTAAATATAAGTGCCTGTGCATCTTAATTTGTGCTTTCCTTTCCGTATGTAAAGAAGACAAAGTCTATGCGAGTGCTTCCATGAATGAAGATGTTCCATTCTAGCGGACGTAAATTTTCCAGTAATCACCAGGACTGCGGTCGCTTGAAGATGTGATTCTTGAATCGCATTGTACAGATGATGGCTTTGTGATCCAGTGATACAGGTTTGGTACATAAAAAGCGTGATCATGTAGTTTCCAGGTACTACTGGATCTCGATGATGAACTCCAGACGCCGCCGTCTTTCCATTGACTGCACTTAGCAGCGAGCATTGAAGTGTCCCCGGTTCCTCGATAAAATGAKTYGCAAGCTTGAGGTGGGGAACCTGAKGAYGCCGTGAAGTAGTCGACAACAGCTTTGCCTTTGGAGTCTGCTGTTGTTATCATGTGKAGAGTGCGACCAACTTTCGCTAGACGACATTGAAATCTKAGCTGGGTAAAGCCTGTAAGCTGACGAATTTGGTTAAGTGTAGTTGGGGAGAGAACGGTTGTGTTATCGTTRTAGTTGGCAATGTCACGGTAAGATGTGCGCAAGGTCAATGATGGGATGTTGGCTGGATTTGGAAGGATGACATTGGAGACAAGTAGCCATCCACCTTGAGAAACAAAGTTCCATTAATGAAAAATTAATGTTGAAATGGAATGAGAATATACAATATCCTCACCTCCCTCGTTGCTCATATCGCAGTAGACCTGTATAGCATTCCCAGAATTCTCTGGGTCAATCCAGTATTTCCCATCATGCACTGCGTCACCATTTGACTTGATGTCCTTGCAAGACTTACCAGGTTTATGGGATGACCACCCAATTCGCTCTGAAATGCCATTATCATAATTTGGAGTAAACGCATTGAACATCTTCATTTTGCACAGGGATTCTCAAGTGTTACTGACCTGTTTCACACAGTGAGCCTTTGAATCCAGGCTTGCAGGTACACACGAATCCATCTTTTGCACTGCTCAGTGAACAGCTCCCAAACCAACAAGGATTTATAGCACAGGGATCCTGAAATGAAAAATCTCTTATTCACGAAATGAAGGTTATCATTTTATCACCCAGCCCTCCTCCACTGAAGACCATAATCCTTAGCGTTGAAATCATTAAGATGCTTTACGACGGTATCACTGTACACGTCGCGTCAACCATTATTATGTAGTTGGTTGAAATGACAAGGACTTTCTTTTATTGTTATATGTTTTTTTTTACATAATGCTGGACAGGATTAAACCCAATACGTGAAGTCTTTAACACACAGTTACGCCAAGAAACTTTATTTTAAGGAAAACTAGTTTCGTCCCAGATTAGACCTTTTCAATTCCTTAAGTCAAAGTTTTTTTACTTTTCGAAATAATGGTTATTTTGCGTATACAGTAAATATAAATAGGCAATGTGCAACGACGCCATATCGTACAACAAAGCATCGAGGGCATCTGTCCTCGCAATTTTTTTGCATACCCTAGAAGAATCTCCGTAAAAGACGTTTTGTTTTATGTAAACAGCAGAACTACCTCCATTTTGTCAAAGAAAAAGCTAAAACTGCTTAGAAGCAAACAGGGAAGGTACTAAAAATATTATCACGATTTATTGTATAAAATGGCGTCGCTGCTCTTTAAGGCTTATTGAATCAGTCCTCCGATCATTGAATTCTTTACCTTTTCGATATACGAGCTTTTTGAGTCCGATTTGAAGTCCGCAGCTGGGGCTGATCGTCTCGTCCTGTTGTTAAGGTAACACTGACTGACGTCACTGCTGCCATCTTGATAATTGACTGACAGGCAGAGATTGTTCTCTGTGCATTTCAAGACACAGTCTATTGACGAAGCTACGACTAGACTGTCTAGCAGGCTGTTTACCAAGCGATAACCTAGGAAATACATATATATTATTCGTTTTCGCAATAATAGCGATTCCCTGGGTTGCCGATAAAATCGGTACAGTCACAGCGTGCCTACGAATTTTTTAAAAGGAGCGAAGAAAGGGATGGACTGAATTACCGACTTTTCATGTATGATTGTGAATTTCAATTCATTTTTTTTCATCACACCGCCTACCTTTTTGCCGAATAAAATATTCTTCTCTTACACGGCATCTAGCACAGACTATAACTTCTAAAAGAATCATCGCAAACATCTCAAAACGGAACATCGTTTGTATCTGCAAGAGATATTGTTAATTTTGTTTCTGACAATTGATTGATAAGGTTGGTTTTTAAGATTAAAAATTAGATTCTCGATATTTATCTCAACGTGAAAAACAGTTTTAAGGGAAATTAGAATCCACATTTGGATAGAAATTGTGTTTCGCTAATTTTCTGGGGGTCTGATAAACCAAAATTGAAGGAGAATTGAAATTGGGATTAGAATCGAATCCGCAATTTGTGGATCTTTTCACACCTTGTCAAATTGTTTTCCAAGCAAAAACGCGTTTTTAAATTGTGTACCAAAATTCAACCGCATGGCTGGATGAAGCTAGATATACAGTTGTTAATAATCTCTATGACATCAAAACACACACACACACAAAAAGAATACAAAGAAATAAAAAAAAAACCATTCTGTTCAGTCTTGATATCGATCTTTTCAAGCCGCTACTTCACCATGCTTCATATGGACGTTAGATAATAAAGATTTCTATCACTTGAGTTTTGTTATTTTCAAAGCGAAACAAATTGTATATTGGTTTGGTAATTTAGATTGGGGCTTAGAACTATAACAACGTTTTTAACTGACCTTTCCTTTAGTCGGCATCTAATCCAATTTGATTATAAAGTAACTGCATTCGTTTGAATCACCTGCGCGTTCCCTTCCAAGTGACGTACGGTTTTTGCCTTAATCGTTAGTTATTAATTCAGACGTAGCACTTCAGAAGATTCCGCTCACACTGCGATCTGTTTTATTGAAGGGGTTTACACAATAATAGAACGGCTATTTTTGATAATTTCATGCATGTTGGGCTATCCTGTGTCATTAGATTCTTGAACGTGAACGCCTACGTTGGAAAGGGTCCAAAAACACGCCTGTCAGAACACCCAAGAAAAGATCATCGCAAAAGACTTTCTCAGTACAAAATAGATATATATTTGGCCGTTTGCTGCAGTTATTGGTTATTATAAAACGTATAGCCAGAGTGTTCTATAAGCATTTATGATTAATTTGAGCAAACTGGCTCATTAGGTTCGGATAACCAAACCATTGTTCTCAGCGTGAGAGGTCTTGTTTTGTCAAAGGCTCAAAGGCTGCGAGATGGGAGATTTGAAGTAAATCAAGTAATTTATTAGCGCCTTGATCAAATTAAACATCAGTAACTACATCGAAAAGCCCCGACTTTAAAAATGATTGTTTTTTTTAACAACCTCAAGGCTAAAACTATTCATTATGCTARTTTCTTCTATGTTAGAACCTGCTATTGAATTAATGCTTAAAAAAATCAGTTAAACTTGCAGGTGTACTGGATATCTTTTACGGACTCTTGAAAAACACTTTCTGGAGTTCTTGGCCGGGAAATGGTCGCTATCTCTGACAGTTAGTTTCCTATATACTTATCACTGACATGTAAACTTCCTGAACTTTTTTGTTTTCCAGCTATTACACAATTTATCATTCATTTGTTAACAAAATACACAGTGAAACTGATACTTTTAATAGGGTACATTTTCAAAGACTAAACGTGCCTATCAAAGAAAATCTATATTATTCCCCAAAAGAATGGGTTTGATGTCATTTTATCATCCTATATGGATACCTTTGTCGTACTTTATATACACCTAGTATTCATGGGAGTGTAAAAACTAGGGTGTTTTTAGGAAAAACACGTGTAATAGAGTGCAAGTCACATAAGCATGAAACAACTCTTAACTATGTAGTGCTAAATAAGATTTAGTTATCAACTAACTAAGAATTGAGAACAATGCTACAAAGGAATTTAAATAATTGGCATTGTGTTTATGCTTTGTTGAATTCTTAGTTAGTTGATGACTAAATCTTATTTAGCAATACACCTACTTGCAGAAACGTTGTCGTAGAAAATAGAACATTCGAATTTAGTAAATAGGAATAAATTAAAACAAGACAAAAGAGGGCGTTCAGCCTCAGTGATCTTTTTTTGTCTTTTCAATTTATTCCTTTTTACTAAAATAGAAATGTCCTATTTTTTTATGACAACGTTTTCGCAAGTAGGTGTACATATTAAGAATTGTTTCATGCTTATGTGACGTGCACTCTACTGTATGTTTTCACTCTTTATTTTGCACGCTTTTCTTTGTCTTTTTGGGCCTTCAGGTGAATCAAACACTTTTTACAATTTCTCCGTTACACTTGTTTCAAGGGGAAGGGTTTATAAATACCACTCCGGTATTGCATTGAAGAAAAAACTGAAATAGATATACCAATACACCTTAACATGTTTCGTTAGTGTCTTGTTCACGCGTTACAGTAAAGTCATTAACTGACCCATGAAAAATTTCTGTCAATAAAGTAAAATTACATAAAACACGCGAAGGTGTTGGGAGAAGTCGCCTAAAAAAATCACGAGTGCAGAAGTCAACAAGGGAATACCATTTTTTTAGAAAACGTTTTGCTATTCTTGACTACTTCATGACACACCTCAGTTCAAATTTTACCTTAGGATAAGACCACCGCCTACACTTGTAACTGGAGGCTCGTGATAACAAAAATATTTTGAACCGTTAAGCAATAAATTTAAATTACAAAACCTGTTGGCAGGGTTTTCTGTAAGCTCATCTATGATTTAGCGCGAAATGTCATTATCTATGAGCTAGACAATCAAAGCATTATTCTCTCTCAGTGGTCGTGTTTTCATCCTCCGTTTTGTGATTTCGCTATGATTCCAAGCTATGCGCTCTCAACAGCTACGAAACCGGTTTCGAATTAAATATAAATACATGATATCGCTTCGTCGTCAAATTAAACTTCCAACAACTATTGAATTAATCGAAATAACGACAAAAATAGCTAAAGACCCCACGAGTATTTTTTTCAGACTGGTCTGAAAAAGACTGAATTGTTTTTTTAGACAACCCATTCTAATGCGTGTCAATGAAGCGTCCTTTATACAAAAACCTGTCGTTGAATTAATGCTTAAAACTTTCTGGGCTCTTCGAGAGTATTTCTTGTGAGAACCGAGGATCATTCAGAGTTGATATGGTAAATCAATGGCTGTTTTCACTGGCGCTACTCCAGTTAAGCCGATTACACAGCAAGACTTGCGGCAAAATTGAAGATGCTCAAATTTTGTTAAAAAAGACCCACTTCTTAAGAACGCTTAATTCTTTTAAACTCACTCATAAACTTGGACTTTGAATGAATTATTTTATTATCTTTTATCATTGTTCGCATATTCACAAATTGCACTATAGAACAAATACTTCTAAGTGTTGACGTCATGGGTTTGGTTCTCGCACTCTCTTATGATATGGTTTGACAACTCAGACTCACTTGCGCAGGCACTTTTCCAAATAATAAAGAACTGAAAGCCTAAGCTTTAACCCATAAAACATTAAGTAATTAAAACATTGAACGTACATTCTTAGGGCTATTGTAATAGTTATAGTATTTTCTCGTGCTTTCTTTTGTTTTCGGTAATGATTGCGCAAGAGAATCTCATGTTGTCTCTTCTATAATGCAAGTATGATATATTCACGTTAAGTTATACTTTCTTATAAACGAATCAATTGACACGGAAATATATTTCAAAGCAATAGTGTTAAACACTGAGCGTCAACAACATCATATATTAAACTATAATAAATAAATACAGCTAACAAAATTAAAATTATTCTCAAAAGCTGAAATTACTCTTTCCTACTCAAACGCAGCCCGTCATATTCGTTCTCTTTGTTGTTTTTGTGTATACAGTATATATATATTTGCAATAATGTATTATCAATAATTTGTATTATTAATGTACGACTGGATTAATGTCCCACAAGCAGAGAATATTAATTGAAAATTGTGTTTGAAGATACAGAAGTTCCCCAAACCAAAAGCATAACAAATGCTTGATAGATTTAAATCACATTACGTACTAATATTACTAACTAAAAAACTATAAAATCTCTATAAAAATTGCAACATTCCAACATCACTACTCGTTATTACGTCACTCTACTAGGACGTCCTTCTAAAATCTATTTATAGAACTGACAGAGTGTAAGTAGTGAACGAGTCGATACATCTACTAGTAACCTCGATATATCTTATGTATCATGTACTTCAAGGGCAGGACAGCCAGACACCGTCTGATAAAATACAGAGATCATTTTTTACAAAAACACATGGCGACTAAAAGCTTTTCACTTCAAAAACAAGCCATGTATTGTACTCAGTCTTTACTCATTTTTTCCAAATGAAAGTGTTGCGCGAGTGTTGCACAAGCCTTGTCCTGTCCTTGACAAAGAACTGTCCATAAGGGACGAATCCTTGATCTATAGGCTTCAATCGCACTTTGTCGTACGTACATCAGCAAGAAAATAAGACTTTCTTATGGACTCAAGGTCTACTAGTGTCTATATTAGTTTATAGTTCAGGGTACGGTGAAAACTAGCCTCCTCTGCTGGCAAATCTTTTTCTTCCTCCTTTGGGCTTCCTTTGAAACGGTCATCTTGGCCGTTAGGGACTAGTGACTCTTGACTCCCCAAAAAAAACAGGAAGCCCGTGATTCTTTGTGATGCCTGCTGAGGAGGCTAGGTGGAAACCGCTCTAGACAAACGTCTCTTCAATTGAACTCTGCATTGAACTATTACTAATAGTTGCAGGTACGAAGAACGCATGCTTGCCTGACGTCACAAGACGGTATGGTTGGACGCGGTAGCCTGGGACGTCAATAGTCACGTCCATGCAAGGAGTCGATGGAAAAGAGCTGTCGCCGTCGTCATTGGTGCATTGTAGTGGTCGCTTTGTTCTTTTTATTGAGCAACAACCTATAACAATAATATTATTAATATTAAACTGTGCAACTAAATACTGCTAAAATACTGCTAAAATATGCTAATTCTATTATTTTCTATTGTTTAATGAACACTATTTTGTAGTAAATAGTGTTAAGTGTTGACAACACTGTTGTTTGTACTCTATTAAATATAATCAATGCTAAATATTATTAATTTTGATCATCAGAGCAGTAGGGTTGACGGGTAGACAAAAGGGAATCCATTGGGTAGGTGAAGGGACGAATGCAGGAAGAATAGACAGAATATGCACATGGCGAAGGATCAGACATGCGTGATGGGGCAACCTCGTTTCCGGGGTCTTTTTTCGAGCGCGTGGGAACAAACCGGGAGAATCTACGTAGCACTCAGTTGATGTAATATATTCATAAAGATATAATACAAAACACATAATACAATAGAACGAGAAACAATGGAATACAATCCATTTTATGAATACATTACATCAACTGCGTGCTATACGTAGGTCACCCCGGAACAAACCTTGTGTGGTGTCCTCATTACGACTGCGAGAAGAATACCATCTGTAGCAACAGATTATTACACCGACAATCATGACACAAAGACCAACTATGCAGCCAATAATGATGACTGGTAATTTCCACTGATCGGCTTCACTGATTTCATCACTTGCAGTGCTTGTAGAATTGGTTACTGGTACACGTGATATCAGCTTTGTTGGCGTCGGTATTACGGAGAAGCCAGTTTGGTTTTTCGTCTTGTTTTCTGGTAAAGTGCTTGGTAATGTCACAGTAGATGTTAGGATGGATATTGTTGTGGTGGTTGATGGTTTATCTGAAAAATCAATCCAAGGGATTAGAGCTTTAACAAATTTTGTTTCATTGGAAGAAAAAGGACCTGGCGATGAGGTTGATTCATATCCCGTCTGATTCATTCGTGATTCATTTATTCAATTTTTTCATGAGTTTATTTCTTTATAAGCACATAGGTCCTTCTGGAAGTTTTAAATAAAAGTACAGTATTTGGAAAAGAGTCAAGTTTAATTTCAGGTAGCCTTCCAGTTTTTCCTGTTTTCAAAACCGGTTTACTTAAGGTCTAGAGGGAATGCTTTACAGCAATGCGTGGGAGTACAAGTCTTATGACCGTCTTAAGTTCGGATCGGGATATTTCCCACGATACGATAGAGTGTTTAGATATGAGTTTATTTTGAGGAAGCCATCTAGTTTTTTCTCGTTTTTAAAATCGGTTTTTACTCGAGATCAAGAGAATGTATCACTGTATTATGTATCACGATTCTCTCGAGTCCGCGACAGAGCTAGTGTAGGTATGCCGAAAACTCGAATAAAAGGTCCTTAAAGGCCACGAAATCTTTGAAATTGTTATGTCTGTCTGTAGTGCTTTCTCGGTTTCCTTCAAAATTAAAGATGGAGAATATTCGTATTGGAAAAAAATCGAGAGTTAATTTAATAGGGCTGTGCCTTTTTTCCATCGCGCGGGGGGCCGGGAAAATCCCGATTTCATGCGGTTAGATTAGGTTGGTTTTATAAACAACTTGGAAAGTGGGAAGTGGGAGTATGATTCAAATCTTATCGAGAATTGTGAATGAACTATATGATTTTGACTAAGTGAAGTTTTAGAAAACTTGGATTAACTCGCAATGCTTCATTATCCCCTCCTAACCCTTCCCCCCCCCCCCCCCCATCATTCAATGAACTACGTTTTCGAAACGGTTTCAGCAAACTAAATCACGAAACGCGAACTAAAGTCATTTGAATTGCGCAAGTTTATGTTAAAAGATAACAATTCCAAAATATGTATATGTAAGTAACATGAAGAAATTGAGGTATCTCTAGCTTGAAAAAACAAATTTAATGCAAACCTTACTCAATTTCTTCATCATGCAACGTCCTAGCTGCAACTTTAAAATATGCATGACGTAACCATATTATGGCTTATGAAATGCCCAGTCTCTGAGTCATTCCCTTTACTAGCCTGTTAACAAGCGTTCCTTCTAGGCCTCCCAGCAGGAACGCCTGGTAGCAGGCTATCCCTTTACCGTCTGTACTAGTAACATGATCTGCCGAGGTCATAGAGGACATAGGGAAAAATCCCATTTTATAAGACCGAGGAATTAAAAGGTTGTAAATTTGATGTAAATATTATGTAAGTGTCCAAAATGATGTAAATTTGATGCATCAACATCATTTTGGACACTTACATATTTACATCAAATTTATAACCTTTAAAGCGCGCGATTTTTTCCAGTGAAAGCGGCATATTTGCAATGTATTTTTATGCCACGTTGCAAATTTTTGTGGGATAGCATTCCAAAGCTCTTTAACTTACTTTTAAAATATTACGTCACTCTATAAAGTCAATTAAAGCGCGACTCAATGGGACTTACTAACAAGAAATCTATCAATCCTACCTCGCGCACAGTTGCAGTTGTTGCAATTCCATTGAAACTGCTGTCCCTCTTCTGTAAAGCAAATTGAACATGGCCGATACGTAAAAACAATATCGTCATAAAATTGTCCTGGAAGACATGCTGGTGGGTCTGTTGGTCTTGCTTCAGTAACACATAAAGTTTGTACAAAAACCATCCAAACGGCCAATATTTTTAAAAGGGCCTTTCGCGAAAACGACATTTTGGTCCTCCCTTTCGTGTTTGTGTTAACTGCGCGGTTTTGGTGATGCAATGGTGTCTCGATCATTATATGTACCACAGCGATGACGAAAGCAATAGGGAAAGTCCCGCTCGAAGATGTTTGGGCCGTTTAGAGCCGCCCCAAAATGTCAGTGACCTTTGCAACTATTTTCAAAATTTTAAATCATTTTTTAGTACCTTTTTTATCATTATCATTTGATAGTTTTCATTTATTCTAGCTTGTAATGAAATAGAATCAAAATTGTAAATGTTTTCTAGCGAATGTACCTTTATAAAAGTTTTATAAAATTTACTAAATCTATACAAAGTTGGTAAAAATACTTCCAGGTACCCTTCCCCCTCTTAGTCTACCCTACCCCCCGTCAGTCATGCTTTTTGTTTTTTTGTGCCATAGCTGCCAGGCAACCAAAGGATTTTCAAAATGGCGTTTGGAATGTCAAACAAACTTCACAGATTTCAAGCAATATCTTTTTTATAGCAACCTGATTAGTTTAGATTCAATATGTTTAGCTTTTTTATTGATTCGCAAATATGAAGAAGATCTTTAAAGTGTTCAAAAAATCTTCAAGCTCAAGCTCGAGCTCTTCGAGTTCGGACACCGAAAGTGAGCAAGAAAAACCACTCGAGGAGAAACCAGAGGAAAGGTATCGTCTAGTAGGTAGAGCTTCCCGGTTCACGCATTTAGTTGACTTTTTTTATTTGTGCTTAGCCCTTCTACAAAGTCGTGGAGTATTACCCATTCAGATATTGAAATACGAAGACCCAATGAGAAGCCGAAAAGACAAAGGTATAAAGATGGTGACAGACAGTAGTTTGATTTGCGGTTAATATTGTCCTAGTTCTTGATCTGTTATGATCAAAACTATTGCGGTTAACTGCAATGAAAAATCAATGCCTTCTTTTAAAAAATTGTTTGACTATTTATTATTCATTAAGCTTATAAGTGTATTGTTTGAGACATTGTCGAGCTTGAGAAAATTAAGTTAAATATAAACTTACATGGACGTACTAAGTAGTAACTTACAACTTTATTACAACTCGATAAAATTTTGTATATCAGATTTGGCTACATAATAAAATCACATAAAAAAAACTATAGTTTTGTTTAAATATCTATTAACTTCATTCCTGTCAAAATTTGTAACAAAATTTAGGAAAATTAACAAAATAATTTTACAGGCCAAAATCATCCAAGCCAGCTATACAGAATGGCAACATAAGTTCATCTTCGAATAATACAATACAGAGTGCCAGTGAAGATGACAAGAGAAAAAGACCAGTGTCACGTCAATCGAGACCCAAGCATCACATCACAGCTAAGAGAAATGAAAGTGTCAGTAGCTATCCAGAGGAAAGAGTTAAAGTTGAATCTATACCTCCCTGGGAAATGTTATGTACAGCCAATGCAAAACCTCCAAGAGCTTTGACTGTTACATCTACAAAACAGAATAATGAACTTCAGGTGAGACAAGAATTTATTGTGAAAGGGAGATATTGGGATCCCTGTGCCAATGACACCTGTCATTTTAAGAACTGGGCTCCCTGTGTCAACTTTTGTATGATATGTAAATAAGCTGTCTTTGTTTCTTTGTATGCTTTTATGCTGTTAATATTTCATGAGAGTGTGATATACAGTGTCACACTTCTCTTAGAAACTCACTCTGTTTGTCTAATGTCACAAAAACAAAGCACAAATTTAGAGTCCTAATATTTTCAATGATGCAAGAGCAGATTATATGAATTATTTTATTTTGTTTTTCTAGAATTGAAATTTTAATTCAGCTTGAGATATGATAATGTTTTTGAAGCAAAGGATAGTTTTCTCGAATTAATTTTCAAGTCAGACTACTCAAAATATCACACAAAACTACATTTGAATTTGTTTTCTCCTGCAATGTGAATTCATAGTTCATTCAAAAACATGAAAATTAAATATATAATTGTTGAAGACAAAACTAAATCCAGTAGTATTGCTGAAGACAAGGTATGACTGTATTTTTAATTTTAACTATAAAAAACTTAGATTTTAGAAAATGTTTTATTGTAATTAACTAGCTGAATTTTAGCAGAAATGTGTGTTGAATAAGTTTTAATATTTTACTGCTTTATTCAACACAAATGTACTTTTTTGGCCCCAAAGCAATGATTGTGAAGGATTATATTTTACTATGATATTAGCAACTAATAATACATTTGCTAATATATGAGATCTGTGTTTTCTATGTCCTCCTTAGACCTGAGTTTTCAGCCGACCAATATTTCATTCTACTGTAGTTATTCTTTGTGTATTAATAAAATAATTGATGTAACTTAACATGTCATTAATCTTACTGTGTTGAATTCTACATAGGCAGTTCTTGGCCTTGAGGCAGCACATGCAGAGGGCCAGTCATCAACAGAATGGTTGACAAGGCACAGTGTTGATGCTAGTTCTTTATCAATTGATGAAATCCTTAAATGTGGAATACGTATCAAGTAAGTTGTTAGTGTTACTCTGAATTCATTTTTTTGAAGTATTCATTTGGTGTAGTTAAAGCTGTTTTCTATCAACTGCCCGATTTCAATATTTTGTTTGTATATGACTATAACAAAAGAATGCAGACAAGTCTTGGGTGAAACAATAAAATCCTTTTGTCTCCTTAAAAGCTTGTCTTCAGTTCTTTAAATGTGCTTTACCATTCAACCAGATGATAGAAGTAGGGCTATTTTCAAGTTTTTTTATTTTGTTCATTTGTTCATTTCATTCCCATTTTCTTCCTTTCTTGCAATTTCTCACTTATATGAATTTGTTCATCAATTATTGGTTTTATTTTTTTTAATTTTATTACTATTGTTTTGTTTGTTATTTGTATGAAATCATTTACTCCTGATATTACAATAATATATTGTGTATTTGTTCAAATCTTCTTAGGCCTCCTGATGGTGAACCTGATACAGCATACATCAAATACGATGCTGCAAAACTTCAAGACTTTGAATTCAAAATCAACGAAGTCATCAAACTTTGCCAGGAAAGAATCAACTGGCTGCTCAAAGGGAGTAGACGGGTAAAAACTCACACTGTATTCATTCAACATCTTTCAGAATTTGTGAGAATCAATTGTTAGTCTTATTGACACATGTTTGATTGAATTTTTCTAGTCATTTGGTATGGTCAAAGGCAGCAGAGTTGCACTTTTAGTAGATGCTTCTGATGCAAACTGTGGATATGGAAGACTAGAGCTTTTCCAGGAATCATTGTTGGTAGGTCATTATGATCTTTTTTTATGACAATAGAACAACTTAAAAAATGGAACCAAAGGTTTTAGATTCCCCTGACACTAAATGAATATCATTAATTAAAATTCTATGAATTCTGTGTTCTCAAAAGAGGCAGGATACAAATTTCTAGATACTGTCTGAATGTGACTGCATGGAGGTTATTTTGAAGTTGTTTCTTCAATAATTTGCAGATATTTCATCTGGTTGAATGTGCAATTTGACTTTGTTTGTTTATTAACTGTTTAGGGTCTTATTAATGAGCAACTTGTCAATAAAGAGATGTTGTACATGGTTAGTTTTGGGACTAAAGTGAAGCCACTTTGGGCAGTGGTTAGAGATGTGAACTTTAGAATGTAAGTACATATGGCATTGTATTAACTAAACAACAAACCTTTGACCACATCAATTATAAAACAACCAGACAATTCAATGAACTAACTAAACAAGTGCAGTTAAAAAAATTATCAATGATGAGTCAGTTGACCAGTAGATTAACCAACTAATATTATGTTCGATTTCAAGTAATATTGACAAATATTTCATGGATGTGATTTTTGCATATTATTCGAAATCGAACAGATGAATTTGTTTTTAACTATTCAAAAACGTTTTGCAATAGTATGAAGATAATGATGATGTCTACCGCTTTTCTGGATCTCATCAATTTTTTGAGATATTTGGCAAAAACGAATTTCAACAAAATGCAGATTGCGTTGCCTAGGTAACGTTGATAGAGCTAAATATCATGCCAAACAAAACTTTGGTCAATGCTTTAATACTGGTCCAAACACGAAACAAATCGGTGCATAGCAAGATTTTCAAAAAGTGAATTTAAAATGAGAGGTATGGTCAAAAAACAACTGTAGGAAGCCACCTTAAATATCTCGAACCATAGCCAACCTTACCTACTATCCATCAAATATTATACAATAAGCAATCAAAAGCAAAGTATGCATCTAATAAGAAACTCCCCCTGATTTAGAATTGACGAAGCTACTTGGTGGGTGAACACATTAAGACCTTCAGGAGGGTGCAATCTTCTCGGAGCATTGAAGACTGTGCTGAAGAGAAGAGAAATCGATTCTATTGTCCTGGTCCTCGGAAACACGTGAGTTCAAATATTAGCATATAATAGTATACATGTAAATTTGTGAATAATTAACAGAGCTAATATTGATAATCCATTGTTTTATTTGATAGACCTGATCAGAATCCTAAAGTCATTTGTGATTATGTAAGGGAGTCAATAGCAGGTCGTAAAGTTCCTCTTCATACAGTTGCATATGATTGTACTGTATCGGAAACTAATGTAAGTGAATGACAAATATTGTAGGCAAGCATGGATTTTTTTAGATGTGTTTCTATGTGTTATTTGTGTATTTTTAGATATTTCTGAGAGAGCTTGCCACTCAAACAAATGGACGATATCACTGTTATGCCTCAACTAGTGATGTAAGTTCTGCATTTCGTGATTGCTTTTGCTATAATTATGTTGTTCAAATACTAAATGAATGCTAATAGCTTGGGCTCTATCTGTGGTCGAAACAAATAAGTACAGGTGAATCAATTGTTGGGATTTTAGTCTCCGATCACAGTTGTTTCCATGTATATTAACCTCTCACCAGTAACAGTTGTTTGATAGTAGGTCATGGAAATGAGCCAAATGACAACTCTTTAGTTAAGAGACTCTTGGGATCTATGCTGGGTCTTGTTTTAGAAATAGTTCCCTTTCTTTATATCTGCAGGATCAAATCATGTCAGGCACAGACCTTAGTCTTCTTGTCAAGGAGATGAACAAGGCTAAAGAGGTACTAATGAAGATACATGAGCTTAGAGGGGGAGCACAGATTCAACACAAAGAGTCAGCAAGGAGAAGAGTAAGTAGCAGAACTCAGGAACAACAGCTGCCTACACTATTAATACAGTATTCTAATTGAGTAATGGAAACTAGGTGTAAACTAGTACGAGCTGCTTCGGTGTTTCTAAAGAAACAGTTGAGTGTAAAAAGATAAATTTAACACACAGTAAAACAACTTACTGATGTTTTGGACGTTAATCCTTTGTCGGAGTAGACAAGATTGATTGAGTGGACAAGATTACAGCTGAACTAACAAAAAATATCGTTAGGAGTTATGGTGGCCTAGTGTTTGACAATGTCACACTCTAAGGACAAGTCACTAAGCTTGATTAGCATTATACTTGGCTTAACTCTTACTACATATAGTAAAACCTATGGAGTTAATAGCTAGATTAGCATTAATTGGGTTTTGAACAACTCAGGCCAGTTTATTGCTTCAGGGTTTAATTCTTGGTCATGTTTAGTGCAATCCATGCATTCCCATTTGTTTTTTCAATAAGATATGATACATATAGAAAACATAGCAAAAACATTTATGTTTGTATTGCAGAGTGTAGAAAGCCTTGCCTTGGCAACCATGCCTTTTGAGACAGATGAGAGCATTGTACTTGGATCTCAATTTACTGACAGCTCACCACTTGTGGTTGAACACCCATCATTCCCTGCAAGAACATCTGGTGACTGGTTGAGACAACATGGGTTAAAAGGTTTGCAAATACTTGTACAATTATGACTTTCATCTTGCTTACAGTTGATATTATAAAGATAGAAAGACATTAAAAGTGTCTCTCATCACTTGAAGTCATGTACTGTAGTCAAGAGTACTGGACACCAGAAGTTGTATTAAAGTGAATTAAATGTCAAATCGATGTGTCCTACTTGCTGTAAGGACTGATTCATCAATTCTAAACACATCAGTTACTTACAATCAGGGTTGGTTGTACAAATCAATGGTGTCAAACAGCACTATTTACCATATACTGTAAATGCTTATCCAGCAGAAATTAGGGAGTGAACAACTTAACTGGGGTGGTTGTCAGTGCTCTTGGTACAAATGGTCAACTGGTCAACTACTCAGGTGTTTGGTTGAGCATCAAAACTTAGTATTGAAGAATTTCTTTTTTTATTGCATACACAGCTAAAGGGTTAAATTTATACCAAGTACTTGCACCAAATGCTTACTCATATGTGAATGGCTACATCTCATCCATCAATCGGAAAGTCCAGTCAAAAGTACATGAAATGGTAAGAATTCTGACTCTTCTTCCATCACTGTATATTTTTGCTATTTTTCTAATTTTTTATTTGCATTTTTAGAGTATGGCTCAGTTCAGATGGCATGATGGTACAATCAAAAATGTCCATGTTGATCCTACGCTATTGTTTGACTATCAGGTAAAAATATTCTTTTATGATTTTCTCCTGGTCTGCTGTTTTTCCTCCTGCTTCATGGAGTGTTGTGTGCTAAAACAGTCAATGTCAAGGTTGTTCATTTGGTTTAGATTTTCATGGACAAGAAGGGCCCTTTTTGTCTAACAAGATAGTATGAGATGTTTATTAAGTTTTGTTTTGTTCTTCCCACTGTTAGCGTCATCTTGATTTTCATGGACAAGAAGGGCCCTTTTTGTCTAACAAGATATAATGAAATGTTTATTAAGTTTTGTTTTGTTCATTTCCACTGTTTAGCGTCATCTTGAAGCTGCTGTTCATCTGTACAAGAGACGAGTAGAATGGTTGTCTGTCGGTGGTAGGAAAATTTTCGGAACTGTTGTAGAAAAACGGTAAGAGGACTTTTTTATATTAACTTTAAAAAAAGTAAGATTATTAAAAAGGAAATACAAGCATGGGTATACATACAATAGGTGTTTCATGACATTTATGAATTTTCTTTTCTAGGGTTGTCATCATTGTAGATATGTCAATATGTATGTCACCAGCAGTACTAAGACTTCAGGAACATATGCGAATTCTACTGGAACAACAAATGGCCAATAAAACATCCTATAATGTCATCTGGTAGGTAGAATTTCATGTGTATTTTGCTTTAAAAACTAAGGTAAAAGCCACAGTTCTATATTGTGTATTCAAATTAGTTTAGTGCTTAATGCAATGACTAAATGCTGGGATGCCTGTGTTTATTTCAGCTTTGGTGATAAAGTGGAAGTCTTCCGTCCTTCAATGGTTGAGCCATCGCCTGAGTATCTTGAGGCAACTTGGAAGTAAGTCAGCAAATTAAATTGATTTGTATTAACTTTTTTAACAATGGTATCTGTTGCCTTTGCACTGTCTTGAACGGTAACTACAGCATATGCAACAAAGCAAGAAGACTCCAAAAGCATTGATCAATCACCTATAGACAATTCACATTAGTCTACTATTGCAAATTCACCAGTCATTTTGCTTTAAGATAGAGAAAAGTGAAAGGAGACTATCTTAGTTCTCCATTGCATGCAAAACGATCCTTGTATTGACACTTTATCTTCTCAGATGGTTTCTGCAGCGTGGGTGCAAGGGAAGCAGGAATTTCCTTGATGCGTTCAGATATGCTGTGGAAAATGAAGAAGAATTGAAAAAAGGAATTGGTAAGTTTTTGTTACTACCTTTCAAAAAAGAAAAAAGAGGGGAGGAGAACAACCAAAAGAAAGTGAAAAAGAGACTAGAAAAGAAAAGATCGAACGGAAGTTTTTTGTGTGCTTACGCTCTAAAAGGAGCAAAGTGATGTTAGAAAAGAAGAATATCACTGATGTGATTGCATCTTGATATTACTGGTTACTCATCGGTCATATATATTTGATCTAACAGAAGTTGAAGGGATTTATCTAATTACAAGTGGCGTTCCCGATGAGCCTAAGGTACGAGATATTATAAAAATGAGCCATAACCAATACAATGCTGATGTTTTATTCGTCAGTGCTGTATCAGATTTACAGCACCGAAACTTTATTACTCAATGTAATATGTATTATACCTCCCAAACATAGCAAAGATATCAGTTTTGATGTTCAATCATAGATTTTACAAGGCTGATTGTGACTTGATTCTATCCACGTATCCTTGAGAGGCGATGCAATATGTATTAACAAAGAACTGAATTAACTCTTCACAGGAAGTTGTTTGTGGATTTGTGAGCGAGGCTTTGGCAGGTCGAAACTCTACGTTACACACAATATTTTATGAAGTCGACGATGAAGATGGTCTAGTCGCCATACCGGGACGTTTTTCTGATAGAGACGATACGGCGTCCGTCCTGAAAGACATGGCCCATGTCGTACACGGAAGGTTTCACTGGTTTAGAAATGGAGGTAAGGTGTGATTGGCTGTAATGTTGCCATGGGAACTCTGCATCCTTTGACTTTGTGAGAAAAAGGTATTTTTGGCGATGTAAATTTCACTAGTACTCATCAACATGAATTTTGGAGAGCTTGAATAACTGAGGATGGAATAAAAAATGACTCGCTTTCCATTCCTTGAATATTCCGAAAATTGGGGGTAGAATGTTAGTAATTCGCGCGATCCAAATATGAAATTCCAAAAACTAGTACGTTCTTTGGATGTTTTACTATTTTTTGACTTATTAATATCTTTTTAATATCTGTTAGATATTATTGAAAGTGATGATCTGAAGGCTGTTTTGAATGAGATGGACAAGTCATTTAACTATTCACAAAAGGTGTGTACTACCTGAAACTAAGTGTTTATATATATTAGTCAGTGAGTCAGTCAGTGAATCAGTCAGTTTGCAAATAATATGACATCAGCTAAACCATCTAATACTTTCCTGTAGACCACTATGCTGCTAGATACTGTACGTAGAAGGAAAATTCAAACGGTAAGGTATAGATAGTGTATTTTGTCTAAGGGTTTCTTCCCCGGGAGTTTGTTCCCCTAGGGTTTCTCCTGTCCGTAATACCAAAGTGTCCATCGTAACGGGGGCTAATTGTAAATGTACATTTCTTTAGGATGATTTCGGTGATGACAATCAACTAGTGCCGAGACCTCCATCAGCTACGAAAACCAAGATGGCGTTGACCCCTCCCAGACATACTGCTTTAACCAAAGCACGAATGGTAAGCGCTGAGGATGGAAATTCCTGTTGGCAAATTCAATCGTCACAGCATGACGTATTTTTTTCCTAGAATACTCGTCCGCAGACAGCGCACACGAGTCACAGTTCTTCATCAAACACGAAGGCTAGGCCACGTAGCGCCTCATCACAAACCAAGGAATCGACATTAAAGGCGTTATGCTGGAAACCCCCCACCGCAAACACTTCAACCTCACTGATCCCAGTTCGTAAGTGTAAAGAATCACTGTCGTTTTTTTTCAAACACCTTGTGATTTTTTTTAATTATTATATTATTGTTCAATAGCACCTCCCCCAAAGAACTACATTGTCAAAGAACGGAGGCCAAGTCTTGTTAAAAGCTCGACACAAACGTTTTACACAGAAAACAAGAACGAAACCGGTAAGCTTAGTTACCACTGAACGCATTTCACTGTTCAATGTGGTATGCATGCTATGCTTTGTAGAGCATGCGCATAATTTTTGAATCTCATATTTTTGTAGGTGCGGTTTTCACGCAATATCCAACTAGCACGACAAAGAAACCAAGAAGACCTATCACTCATCCGTACATACCGGACAAAGAAGAGGCTGTTACAACTAGAGAGGTTTGTGTTTTACCCTGCTTTCGGAGGTTTGAGTTTTTCTGTTCCTGCTCGTCGTTGTTGTTGGCGGAAAGCGGCGCAAAGGTAGAGAGAAAGCTCGAGCCTCTAGAACCAGAGTATTTGAGATGAATTTGATAGTGTCCTAGCATTGAAATTGCGATTTGGAGTACAATATAGGTATGTATATTAATCGGAAATTATTTTTTGTCGTAGTGGATGCGTCACTACAGCCTTTCAAAATTAAAGCTTGATCTCAATAACATCGTCGGCACTGCAGAGTGTTCACATGCTAAGAGTAAAGTACAGACACTTGGACAATCGGTACCAGCAAGGTTAGTGTCATCATTTTATTCTTTCATCAATAGTCTCCTAGAGACTATTCATTCATTTACAGCGTTTTGCAAAAATTCTGAAAAGTCAACAACATCCATATACACTCATATTAGGGTGCATTGTGGGTAATTTCCACTGTATAAGTGGCTGAAAAGCAAATTTGAAGTGAAGAACGGTGAATATTGTTCCACGTGTGCTATTCAAATACAAATTGGATTAAATATAACAAAAATATTGGCCATTAGCAAAATATTAGTACTATATTGCAAACTAGTGCTACAATAAAGCTTTTGTTTTTACCAGAAAGTACAAACAAATAACTATTTTTGTTTAGGTATTGTACAATCTTCCCTACTGTCGAGGTAAAGGGCGTGGTCAAACATCTGCACTTACTTCCACATGAACTGAGAGACTACGAAGAACAAGTGGAGAAAGTTATGAAGCGATATGTCAAGCGCATGCAGTGGCTGATGAGTGGTACGTCCATTACTATTCTCAAACGGTCTGAGGAAAGGCTCATGCCTGAAAAAAAAATTCGACTCTTCTCGCGCTCAGTGGGTTTATTTTGGTACAATTAATAACTTGTGTCTGTTTTAAATCTTCAAAACATTGTATTTATATGAGAAAAATGACCAAGAACTTCATAAATTCGCGGGAAAATTTGTGCTTTGTTTGTGAAACAYGAGATAAAGTCTTCRCARCTTGATCRTTTCAGAGGTCAAACTACCATGCGTTTACTACCTGGAACATGCGAGTATTCGGTTACAATGTCGTTGTTTGCTCATTCAGAATTACCCATTTTAAATACAGGATACACTTCTAATGTTATGTAGCTAGAACTGTCTATTGGAGACAAAACAATGACTCTGTTGACTGTTTTTCGTGGTCAATTTGAACAGCAGAATTTTCTAGCTCGTGTTACAGTAATCTCCACATGCTCCGTGGGGTGTTGCAATGGATTATATCATGTTTATATACTACTTTTCGCGGGAAACAAGGACCGATCCAACTCCGATCGATTTCAGCGGGTTTTCAAGGGAAAATCGGCAATAAATCGCACGATATGACGTAATGAGACTTGAGAAACAAAATGGCGACTGGATATTGCGTCTTTGGGTTAAAAATCGTGCAATATTCCGTAGAAATTCGAAGTTTTTAACACAGCACCGTTTGTTAAACTTTATAACTCTTTCAGATTACATTATTTTCGAGAGATATTTGGGGGGCTTATAGACTGGAAGCTTTTAAAAAGATCTATGGTAGGATACCTCGAGATTTTTCTTTGTTGGCCGTAACGAAGCTGCTACGCTAAAGTTTCCATAAAATTATTATTTTTTCATATTTTCAGGTATCCTACAATAAAAAGTTGCATTCTTATATTATCTTTATGATTCTTGAAGAAATTATTTAAAAAATTAAATATTTAAGGAGTTATAAGAGTTTAAAGCGTTTTTAAGCTGTTGCTATGGATACGGCTCACGCCTTCAGAAATAAACAAGAAGGGTGGTGACCTGTATTTTTCAAATCTCCATTATATGTACTTTCATTATGTATACAGAAATGGCATCAACTCCCTATATATTTTTTTCAAAATCTCTTCAAAATGACACTGGTTTACACTTTCCTCAGACCTTAATGGTTAATTTTTTTTCCGTCATCAACTTTGGAACTCCTTGAGAAGTTTTAGTTGAACTTCGTCCTCAGACCCTCATCCATTTGACTTCAAGCGATGGGATAAGGACCTGGGTACGAGTTGATAAAGCACATTATTGTTCCATCCATACACGACTTCATCAGTTTTGTCTCTTTTCACTCGTTAGATCATGTAAGCTTTTATCCAATCATGTTACATTTTGTAATTCGAGCGTTATGATTGGCGAAGAGTAAAAAAATGCCTTCATGCTGCATGTATTATCAGGATGGACACTTTTCAGAATTTTTCAGAGGATGGGCACTTATTGTTGTGTACGTCTGCTACTCAGTATCAACTCTTTATTCCTTGTTTTTTTAGGAAGCAGACGCGTCTTTGGTACGATTGTAGAGAAAAAGGTAAATGTCTCTTAGTTTTCCTGTACCAACCTTTCAGCTTTAAAAAATAATTTGAAACCAACCAATTTGACCTCTGTTGCTAGGTTACAGTACTGATTGACACGTCGGGCTCCATGGTAACCAGTATGGATGAGTTGAAGAGAGAGCTTGCTGCACTGATTTGGGATCAAATTAGAAATAAGGCAACAAAGTAAGAACATTTATGAAACAAATATTTGAACTTTTCTCATTGAATTGTTGATATTTGCATGGACAGAGTCAAGAGTATTTCATTGTCTTGATCATTTCTTGATTTTCCTGTTCAACAGGTTTAACTTGATTCGCTTTTCGACGGAGGCGGTGCCATGGAAACCAACTTTGGTTGATACCAATGATGACACATGCCAAGAGGCTGTAGAATGGGTTACTGGGTTTGAGGCGAGTGGATCCACGTGTACGCTGGACGCGCTGCAGAAAGCTTTTGGAGATATTGACGTTGAAGGAATCTATCTGCTTACAGATGGGAAACCAGTAAGTATTCGTGTATCATATGGGATTGGACCATAGCTGTCACTTATTAGGTTATAAACATTGCACCACCCCTTCCCCTTAGGGTTTGAATACAGCAACCGGCGCACAATACTTTATTGTTTTTAATACGCGTCCAGAATTTTCCTTCTCAAAATGCTTTGTTTTTCTCCAGGATCACAGCACTACCATGGTGTTACGCGAATTAGCGAAGCTTAATTCATCAAGAAACGTTAAAATTCATTGCACATCGTTTAATTGCGACGATAGGTAACGTAATTATTTTTAAATAGTTATTTCAATTTTGAAATGGTACTTGATTATAAATGTACAATTGGGAGCGAATAATCTCCTTATACCAAATAATGTGCTTTGCCAAATAAGCAACCCAATAATGTTCTCTTTTTTCAAACAGTGCTGCAAACAAATTCCTTCAGCTCTTAGCATCGCAAACAGGAGGAAGGTATGGTTTATAATAAAGTTATTGATTCATTTTATAAGTTTTCATTAATTATTCAATATATTTAGGTTTGTCATTGCTTACGAGTCTTGTTTAATAGGTTTAACCGTTGCCAAGGAGACAATGATGGTCACGTGTTTGCTCATAGGCTACTGACCGAGGGGATTCGAGACGACGAGGTATATTTTGATATTCTGCTTGCAAGACTGCTTCACGTAATGACTGCATAAAATTGCACTTTCTATGGTTTTGGGCGAGTCGAAACATGCTATGATGTTATCGGGAAATAGAGTAAATAACAACAACAAAATTATCCTTGGTGATGTTTCCTTAGCAGTCGTAGTACTTACTAAATTATGTTTTCGTTTCAGCCAATGAGCATGCCAGTTTTTGAAGGAGACGATCTTCGACGACTAGCAAGCGAAATAGCCTTGTGCAGGAAGTTCTTGTTGCAAGCAAGGTCTTACAGGTGAAATAGAATCGCTCAATTTCGTCTGGCTAAATGGTTACTACAAAAGAACTGAAGACGAGGCTAATTAGGGTTATCTCGACTTAAGTGCATTTATGCGTGGCTAGTCAATCAAAATATCGAGTCAGATCTAAACAACTTTCCCAGAAGTTCAGTTATGTATAATTTTGGTTTATTATTGTAATAGGGCAATGTTTCCAGACAAGGCTAGGGAAGGTCAACCTACGGGGAAGTCCAAGTCTGTGGATAATTTACAAGGTATTGCAGTGACGACTCTCGTTTTCCTTTTACTTCAGTGTCCTTCTCTGTCTTCTTCTTCATTTTTCTATCTTTCACATTTTCCTTATTTCCAATTGTATCCTGTTCTATACACCTCATTCACCTGTGCTTTGTTTGTTTTCGTCTTCCTCTCTCTCCTTTTGTCTTCATTCTTCGGTTTTCTTCCGTGCTTCTCATTGTACTGGCGTCTCTTCCAATTGTGCTTTTTCTTTCCTTTTTGTATTTCCACTTCTTCCTTCAGTTGCTTTGTAATTGAACCTTTTGTTTATTCTCCTTCTTCGTCTTGCTTCTCCTTATCCAGTTTTCTACTTCTTCATCGTTATTTTCGTCCTTCCTTTTCAGTTCTGATTGTCACTGAACCTGTGTTGTTCATGTGTCTATTTCTCGTTCCTTGTCCTTCGTGTTCTCTTCACTCTGAAGCATCAAAAACTCTTATAATCTTCATCTTCTCTCTTAACTCTTATATTATGTCTAAGTTGTTCCTGAATATGCATGTCCATTTTCATGATAACTTTTATGAAAGTGCCAAATCTGTCTTTATTTTTCCAGGAAAAGGTATATCTAATGGCCATCACCATCGAAGTGCATCTGGCATTTTAGTTAGTTGACTGTCGGGTCGAAACTGATCTAGGCTGTATCGTAAAAACAGGGAGATCTACAAGAGTTTCAAGAATATGTAAACTCGGCAATCTTTTACAAAGGTAGAGACTAGTAAATTCTCCTGTATCCGATGTTATTGCGGACATTGGATAATAGAGCGGATTTCGTATGAGTGGGAAACGGACAGTACTGTACTGTGCGGTAACGGTGTCCCGCTCATACGAAATCGGCTCTAGTTTTCTCGTGTTCAAGGATATTTGAATGTAAAATTGTATGTTTATAACTTGATGTTGTATTATTTCATTAGAAAGTGTACAAGAAATATTCTATAAAATAATGAAGGTGTAAATTTTATGATATTGTAAAAAGGAATGAAATAAAATGGTTTGATCGAATAATTAAAGGACATTGTGTTGTTGGGCTTCCTGTGGTATGTGTAATAACTTACAGTCCATATAAAGATTTCTGCAAGGAACGGAGTAAAGACGGGTAAGGTTTATATTTTTAGTGAAAATTGTTACGACGAGCTGACCAAAAGGAAAACAATTTTGAAGTCTGGCGAGGTTGGTCTGGTATATTTTTTTTTACATTTTGAAAACGACGAAGTTTCAATGCCCCACCCGGTGAATTATCGATTTGGCCGCGCTCACAACGAGGCTGAGAATTTTTCAAATGAAAAATGGCGCGTGGTTGTGAGCGTGACGAACTTTCTAAACAGAAAACAAATCGAAGTTTTCGTTGTTATTTTTGAAATGTAGTCATCCCCTGAGACTTTTATCTTCATAGCATTCATGAGTTCACGTCGGAATTCGCCCCGCATCGCTTCACCGAGGAAGAGGAGAGGAAGAACTCGGGCTGAAGTCGAACAAGAAGAAGAAATTGCAAGCGAATTTGAAAAGTGAGTAAAAAAGATAAAGCTTTTCTGCTGTCGAACAAGAGTAATTAATCCCAAAGCTCCCAACTTTTTATGCATATATCCGAAGTAGCATAACTTAAGCTTATTTCAATCAAAATATTATAAACGCAAACAATAATATTTCAGGACTGGGAGAGCTTCTCGTAGTCGATCACCGAGTCCAAAATCAGGACAGAAATCGACGTCAAGATCTTCATCATCAAGCAAAGAACGTTCAAATTTAAGAAACGCACAACCTTTGTCCTCTAAAAGGAGGACATTTCGTCATAAAGAGTTGCAAGAACCATCAAATAACGTGGAATACTTCGACCTTGAGGATATGGAAACTCGAAGTAGGAGAAAAGGGCAGCAAACGCCCACTTTGACTCCAAGAAGTACATCTACTCCAAGGTCAAAGAGAACGTCTGCAAGAACTAGACCTGTTTTAAAGCAGGAGGAGGTAGAGGAGGAGTTCAATGACACTCCAAAACATTTATATGGTAAGGCGATCTTTTTGTTTTCGAAAGAGTTTTTTAATAAATTAATTATTCTATTTTATTTTGAAAGGACTGGATAATTCCAAGGGAATGACCTCAGGTATTATTATTAAAAGGCTATGAGTATTTTTATATGCAAAATTCAAAACGTCAAAATTCTATTGCCTCAATTTTCCAGGAGAAGAAGATGTGAGTGTTGATACTGACACTAGTAGCACTTGTAGCCCCAAGAAGACGTTCAAACAGCTTAGAAAGGTATTCTTCAAACCTGTTACTTACAGAAATTGTAGAACTTCACATAAAGAAAGACAATAACTGTTTTATGTTTCAGTTTTTTAACCAGAAATTCAGAAGGATATGGAATTGCAAATGCATTGGTGTGGCAATGTTTGCAATTTTCATTGCGGTAGCAGTGGTATCAGCACTGATAAGGCCATTCCCATACTCTGATCTTCCAACAGTTGAAGTTAATCAAGAACAGTTCCAGGTTTGTGTTCTCTTTCAAAAACTATAATCTGAAACACACCACTCCATTGATAATGAACAAGAAGATAGCAAACATTGGGGTTAACGAATGAGAGAATGAATTATAGTCACAAGCTCATCGTTTATTCCATTGTTTGCTGTCCATATCACTGTTCTTTGATGATCGATAATATAAAAAAACAATACACAAAACAAGTCCTCTCTTTACTGATTATTCAAATCAATCACTTTTTTGAATATGAATGCCATATATAAATTTAATAAAAATTTTCATTATATTCTTCCCAGTGTCTGTAATACAAAATATTCATTGCATTTCGTAATTTTTGTTGTCTGCATGTTAAAGACTGATAAAGGTGCTTCATGGAACAGCAAAAGCATTCAAGAGCTGCAAGTAAGTTAGGGATATATTAATTACACAATTCAAGGGGGATACGAATCCTCCCTAAGTAATATTAGTTGAGCAGTCTTCACATATTTTATAATTTGAAAAATCAAGCAAACTTTATTTTGTGGTTTCAAGAGTATTGTTTTGGATTCAACCCAACTAACTGTTAGACAATCTGAAAATGTGTTACCTTGTTGATTTGGCCAATAAAGTCTCATATTTCAATTACTTTGTCTGCCTAGGAATGTGGCTTCCAGCGTTTTGCAGCTTGTGGCAGCATATGCTATATATTTTATCATTTTCTTTGATTTAGGAAAAACTTGATCAACTTTCAGCACAAGTCAAAACAAGCTTGGAAATGGAGAAAGGTAAGGTAATTCCATCAGGGTATGTACCAAACTATTTTAGAAATATGAGGGTTACTTCAATTGACTAAGGAAGTAGAATCGATACCAGCAAAAACCAACTAAATGCCACTCAATTTTTACAGAAGATTCCAAGAGAAATTTATACAATGAATCCATAACTTCTGAAAAGGTTGGTTACATTTTCAAATATTTTATCCAAGAACAATATATATCAATCACTTATTGACCTTATTATAATATCTTTGAACTATCCCCTCAGCACCTAGCACAATATATTGAAACATTGGTCAAGGACAAAATGGAAGCTGCATTAGATGTCTATAGCGCTGACAGGCTTGGAATTCCTGACTATGCACTGGAATCTGCAGGTAAAATTGTTGTCCAAATTATGTATTACTGAGCTGTGTGCATAACTGAGGGTCAGCACTTTTTGTCCATTTCAAGTCTTCACTAAAGGGAAGCTTGAACCAAAGAAAAGAAGAAAATTTGTGGGCATATGATGGTAAAAATCTTAGAATATTGATTTGTTTGGAATGGGAGAAAAGGATGATGGTTGCTCCCCCTTACACCACTAGAATCAGTTAACATCCTCCCCATTTCCTGTTATTTATGTTTACTGATATCTCTCATTTACTTACATATAGGTGGTCAGATACATGGTAAACACCACTCTCCCACCTTTAACACTGGTGCATCTAGGAAACTGTTTGGCTTTGCCTTTTGGTTTGATGGGATACCACCAAGGGTTATTCTTCAGGTGCATGTTTATCATTTATTGAATATTGAGTGGACTTAGAAATGTACCACACCCAAAGCAGAAAATATTTTTGTTGTCCCTAAAGCTCACTTGGTGAGAAATGTAACCCTTGAACTAAGTACTTTGCAGGTCAACTCAAAATGTTTGTCGAGTCAGTATCCCAAAAATTTAAATGTGTTTTGTAATGCTCTGAAGTTACTCCCTAAATATAGTCTTAATTTTGTAAAACCTATTTGGTATGGTCAATTTGACATTATTATTGGCATTATGTCATTAATTGTTTTATAATGATTAGCCTGATAACACTCCTGGTACTTGCTGGGCATTTCAAGGTCAGGAAGGTTATGTTGTTGTTCAGGTAAGTAGAATAGTACTTAAACTAGTTCTGACAAGCACAAGGGAATACATCAGAATGTCTTTATTGAATATCAACAATATTCACATTGAGTTATTGGCATCATCAAACTTTGCTATCATTATTTCTAACTTGTGGAAATGAAGGAGTCTCTATTCTTTGGAAATGTTTCATTTATTTTTGTCTGTTTGTTTGTTTGTAGTTGTCACAAACTGTTGTTCCTGAAATGTTTACGCTAGAGCACATTCCTGCTTCTCTGTCGACTGATGGAGATGGCAAAATAGCCAATGCACCTAAGGACTTCTCTGTATGGGTAAGCTGATTATGCTGATGATAATGATGTTTCAGTGTTGATGGTGATAACACTTTTATTCAGAATAACACAATATTATGTTTTCCTAATAAGTTAGTAACTATTTTTCAATGTTTAAGGGATGGGCAAACAGTGAAGGGGTCAATAGACATTGCTTGGGAAAGTACACTTACGATAGCCAAGGGAAATCTCTTCAGTCGTTCAATGTTAAGGTAAAAGTTACATCATTCTGAAATTAATTGTATGAGGAAGTAGCTGATCCCATTAAAGAGTGCTCAATACACATAAAGTGTAGAGCTAGTTATATATATAATCAAAGAGGCAAGATTTTGCTGTAACTCCGGGTTTCGTGCTACGCACTCATCAGACAGTATTTAATTTCATTCAGTATTTAATTTCATTTAATTTCATTCTGAAATTAGTTAAATTTGGCATTTTACTGAGGGTATTGAAATTTGTTTTTCTACAGGAACCAAATAACCAGGAATACACATATATTGAGCTCCGAGTTGAAAGTAACCATGGTCATCCAACACATACGTGTATTTACCGATTCCGTGTCCATGGAAAACCTGCTAAAGCAAACGTCCCTTGCAACGATCCATAAAATCAATATTACATCAAAATTACTATTTCGTTATGTTCTGTATATATATAATTTATTCATTTGTGCGTTGTTTTTCTGTGGATTTAGAATTGTTTGTATTCTAAATTGAATGTTGAGTTCGTATTAATAAGAACAGAGCTCTCTATCATAGCTAATCGATTAACTATGTCCATGAACTGTGAATTGTTATTTTACATAATTGCACTAACACCTCTGTAAGTTAGAGTTCTAGATTAAAATGTCATCCTTAACTTCTCTCAAGTCGATATTCAATGCAGTTATTCAATAAAGTGCATGATCAAAAAACGCCAAATCCCGGGCAATATTCTATCGAAATGAGCCAAAATAACAATGAACTCAGAACGGCGCGAACGAAAAAAGTTTGCGAGTAAAAACAGAAATAAGTCAGGCGTTACTTGCTGGTAGTTACCAGTCTTTTTCAGGTGTTTGTTTTCAGACACGGGACGATCAGAACGTACCGGTCAAAGAAAATATATATGGAAATTCCTTTTACTGGGAAACGGGCTCTTGTTACGGGGGCAGGCAAAGGTAATAAGCATTTAGATATTCTTTAAAAGTGTGTAGAAATATAAATGATATGCGAATTTACACTTTGAGCTATTTTGCTGTGGATCGGAACTTCATCGACACTTTTTCATTCAAATGTCGATTGAAGTCTAACCAGTATTTTGGTCACAAATAAGGCTTTTCATATTCGTTGTTACTACCAATAATCTTAGATTGTCACAATTACATCTTATTTTTCAAAGGAATCGGTAGAAGTACCGCTAAGGCCCTGGTGCAATATGGAGCTGAGGTCATCGCACTGACAAGAACACAAGCTGATCTGGATTCCCTTGTAAAAGAGGTAAAGTTGCCTTAATTATAGAGTGGATAGCTGGACCATGGTTGTTTGGCAGTATTAAACGATAAGATCTTCAGCTTTGATGTTCCATTTTTTTCAAGAACGCAGGTTGGGGTTCCTGTGGCTGTTGCTAGACTTCTTCACAATCATTTAGGGTTAGGGGGAAGGGGGAAAGGAGGGGAGGGGGGTATTGGTAGAGTGGGTTTTAAAATATAAAAATGGAAAGGGATATTCAAAAATATGGAAAGAAATGCCCTATAGAAAACATACTAGAATTCAGAAAAGAACATTTAGCTTTTTATACAGCACCAAAATGTACCTCATAATTCTTACACAATATATACCAATCAGGGTCTCTACAATATATAATATTGAAGTATTTTTTACGCTATAGGTGCCTTCTATAAAGCCTTTATGTCTGGATGCCACTAATACAGAAAAAGTTACAAAAGCGATTGAAGAACTTGGCAACATTGATCTCCTTGTAAACAATGCTGGAATTAACATATTAGAGTCGTTCTTAGATGTAAAGATAGAAAGTTATGACAAGTAAGTATATAATGATACCAAGATAAAAATAAAAATAATAATTGGAACTGACAATGATGATGATATAAATAATAGTGATTTTCTTTGATGTAAAACGTTGTGCTGTATTGTTTTCCTAAAGTCTTAGAATTTGTATTTGTATTTTAAAGAATCTTTGATATCAATGTTAAAGCTCCTCTATTCATAGCTCAGGTAAGTGACTTGTAATATCCATTTTGATTGTGGAGTTTATTTCTTCATCTCCTATGCTTTTCAAAATTCCAGTTCAAGTAGTAGACTCAAATCTGTGTAAATTGATTGGTTATTCTATTTTTCAATCTTAGGAACAGGGCTACTCACTGCTTTACGGAAATGTTAAGAAAATAATATAGTAAATTTCTTAAACAATTAAATTGTATATTAGGCTGTAGCTAAAAAGATGGTCAGCAATGGAAATGGTGGTTGTATAGTGAATGTATCCAGTCAAGCGTCTCTTATTGCTTTACAAGACCATACTGTTTACTGTACTACTAAAGCCGCCCTAGACATGTTAACAAAGACCATGGCACTAGAACTTGGACCACACAAGGTATAGAATGGTTACCAAGAAGTTTTTTTTACTTCAAATATCATTCTGTAATGAGGGACATATTACCCAGGATTTGCCATTGTGAGGGTCTTTTCACTCAAATGTAATATAAACCATGATGACATAGAATGTTGATTTAACAACCATTAAATTAATTTTGTCAAATTAGAGTTAGTCAGAGTTATTTTCTCGTGGCTTTTGGAGGAGAAAGGTGGTGAGAGCAGGTAGCCTGAAACAGAATGGATGAACATTTGCCTAAAACCATTTTATGCAACGTGCACAAATTGTTTTTACAACATAGCTTGTGACTGTCGAGATTCAAAATAATTGTTAAGCCCTGCTAAAGTTGAAGGCGTGTTGTTAGGGTGACTAAAGAATTCTGGATGCAATGGCCGTAGGGAATAGCTGTCTCATCTACATGACTGTTTAATTCACCTTAGGTTCATCCCAGTTTGCTATACATCAACTTTTTTAAAATTCATAGCTACAGTGTAGGACTCCCAACAGGGGAGAAAATTGAGACCAAATAGTGAAATGTAGGCAAATTTCCTTCATGCTTTCCTTGTTTTTTTTCATTTTTTCATAGTCTAATGCTGAGAGAATTGTTCCACATCATAGTGTGACCATACACAGTCACTTGAAGAGTTTTTATTGATATGTCACTGCTTGTGCTATCTTTTTTCAGATCAGAGTCAATTCTGTTAATCCAACAGTAGTGCTTACAGAGCTGGGCCGTAAAGCTTGGTCTGACCCTGAGAAATCAAAACCAATGCTGGACATGATACCACTTGGAAAGTTTGCTGGTAAGAACTGTTGTATTGGTTTAGAATTTTTATTAAGAAGCCATTGTATGTGTTTCCTGAACCATTCATTGCAATCTGAACCAAGGCAATTGGTGAAGTCTGATTTGTTGAGCCATGCTGCATTCTGATTGGCTAAGTAAAAAGGCATTCATACCATTGCACCATTTTTGCCACCCTAGTAAATATAACCTAATCATTCTACATGTAGCCTACAAATGTTTGTTGTTTTAATTGGTTTGGCAGATGAAGAAGATGTTGTTAATGCAATCCTATTTCTGCTGAGTGACAAAGCAGCTATGATCACCGGAGCCTTGCTTCCTGTTGATGGAGGACGTTTAGTTCATTAATTTAAAATGTACTATGAATGAAATAGAGTTCTTAAAAAGACAATTTGTTGTGTAGTGCCAGCTTGTATACTCTGTTCCTTCATGTACAATAATGGTCACAGTGAACCTATGATCCTGTACATGTTAAGAAGCTAGGCATTGAAATACTTTTTTAGAATTTTTAATTTTCATAATACTCCAGTTTCGAATTCTCCAATGCTCTGTGTTAGCCTCATTTGTGCGCAAAATATTCCTTATTGTGAGCGTAAAAGTGTGAGATTTCAAATCAAATTTATTGTCTTTCTTCACAAATTCCATGCGGTTTTTCGAGCTATCAGTGAAACAAAAGAATGTGTTACTTGGTTTTGAGGCTAACACAGAGCAAAACAGAACTCGAAATCGGAGTATTATCAGGCGACACGAGTTTGGTTCGAGTACAAATACAAAAAAACAAACAAACAAACAATCAAAAAAACCCCACACATACACAAACAAACAAACAAAAACAGCAAATCAACTGAACAAATAGACAAAAAAAAAAACAAAAAAAAAACAAACAAACTATATTTGCATATTTCAAATACCTACAATAATTTTGAAATAAATATTGAATAAAATATAAATATATAAATGATTGAATATACGTTTTGTGTGCGTGTTGTGATTAAGGGCTAAATGAACTGTAAAGTTTTCTAGTTAGCTTTTAGAAAGGTATAAAAAAATGAATAAAAGTGGAACAAAATTCAACTTAAATATACTAAATGAGTTCATCTTAATTAAAAGTTGAAGAAAATCTTTACTTCCTTTCACAGATAGAGTGCAAAAATAGAAAAAAACAAAATGAATCGAATGCAACATTAAATATCCCACCCACCCTTCCCTTAAACAAAACTACCAAAACATGTCACGAACTTTGCAATGTCACGCAAGGTTTTGGACCGTAACACGTGCATGACCTTCGAGGTGTCCATGACCTTCGAGAGGTCTGTGGTCGCGAAGAAGTACCCTGCAAATAAGGCAGTTTTTTGACATCAGCGATGAGCGATGGAGATCATCTTTAAAGGAAAGCGGGCCCTTGTTACAGGGGCAGGGAAAGGTAATGATAAGTATTTTTGTAATAGTGTTTGTTGCCTTTATAAGCTAAGTTAGTTTTCGTGAAGCCAGCGATATGTTTGTAAATGTTTCAGCCGTTTACAGCAGAAAGCTTGTGTTGATCTATTTAAGTCATTCTTTATTTTGATAAAGGAGGTTTCTTTTTTATGGATTAAAAATGGAGAATTGCGATAATAATGATATTATAGACCGAATGAGAAGGTACATATATGCACTATAGAAGTGGCGGTATGAAGTCTTTAGCGAATGAAGTAGATCCAGAGTGCTTCATTGCTCTTTTCCTGACTATCATCATAGGTATTGGTAGAACTGCAGCCAAGGCCTTAGCACAATGTGGAGCCGAGGTTATTGCATTGGCAAGGACACAAGCTGACCTGGACACCCTTGTAAAGGAGGTTAGGCTTAAGTCACTGCGCTCACTGGGGTATAATGGGAAAATCTGGGCCTTTTGATATATAATACATGTATATCCAACAGGTGCCATCCATCAAGCCCTTATGTGTCGACCTATGTAACATTCAAGAAGCAGTAAAAGCCATTGAAGAACAAGATGACATCCATCTTCTCGTCAATAATGCTGGTGTTCTCATTCAAAGCCCATTTCTGGATATCACAGAAGAGCAATTTGACAAGTAAGCTTTAAAAAGGCGTGCAATATTGATTCATTTATTGTTAGTTTAAAATATTCAATGAAAAAGCTGTATGTGTAAAAAGTACCGATTAATAGTTTTTACTTTTGGCTGGACACTTTGATCGCCCATACATGTAGAACAGGTGCAGGTAGAATGTGAACTGCAAGCTATACCTATGGCTAGTCCCTCATCTGCAATATTAGAGGGCCACGTATCAATCACTCTGTTTCTTTTTCTCAGGGTTAATTCTATCAATATGAAAGGCGCTCTATTTGTCGCCCAGGTATTTCAATACAACTAAACGTTCTATTAAAGGAATTCTGACACATAATTAAGACAGCAGCAGAATCATTAGCCTGATTTTCAGACGGGGCCTGAAAATCAGGCTACAGAATCATATTTTGTTTGTTGTTTGTTTCAGGCAGTTGCTCGTAAGATGGTTTCTGGTGGGTTTGGTGGCGCTATTGTCAATGTGTCTAGTCGTTCAAGCATAAGAGCTTCTTCAAATAATGGTATTTATGGTAAGTTAAATGAAATAAAACTCCATAATCATTTTCACTCAAATATACTAAGCCAAAGGATTAGTAGTCTCCTTCGCAGCCTACCCTTTTGTCGGGCTTCCTGTCCCTCCCAAAAGAATTGGAGACTAAAGGATTAGCAATATTAATGATTTTAGCACAATAAAGAATGGATAGGGAAGCTCAGTTAGGAACATGAACAACTGTGGTTCATATGACGTCATCACTATATAAGTCTATGATTGTGCCCCCCAAGTCAATTTTGGCTCCGCTGCCCTTGGGTATAAAATGATCACATCAGCTATACTGTGGATAGGTTACATAGTGGCCTTTCTTCTTAAAGGGGGCCTCTATGCAGGCTATATTGTGTATTTTGGTTATTTATATTTCATTTCTCTATATTTAGGCCCCTTAAAAGCTTCATTAGACATGTTAACTAAAGTAATGGCACTAGAACTTGGACCACACAAGGTGCACATGTAAAAAAAAACCCAGCTAGCACAGCCAATATTATGACACTAATGATTAGCATGGTAACAAGTTATTGACCTGGGTGATCAAATTGATTTTTTTAGCTGATCCCAGTTCCCAGTCCCATGAGCACTGTGATCCCAATCCTCAGGCTAAAATCCTGATACCTGATCCCAAACTAATAACGCTGATCTCTGATGCCATATCATGACCCTACCATTATCGTTATCAGTGCCACTTAGTTTACGCTCAACTATACCCTTAGCCTGTCTAGGTGGGTATTCCTGGCTACTCAGAGGGAGTCCTGTCCCAAAGTCCCTTGCGCTTAGCTAAGTGAGTATCAGGCTCTCTCAAAGGGGTTTGGGGCGGAGCGAGAAAGGAGAGAGAGCCTCTCTCAAACCCCTTCCAGAGAGCCTGATACTCAGGCTACAGCTAAGGACGCCTGGCTGCACGCTACTATTACCCTTCAGAACCATTTAAAATCAATCCCTTGCTAAGCCGTTCTCAATTTTACAAACACAAAATAGACTTTTGAACCTTATACATGTACTTGATCACGACACTGGTGAAAAACGCACTGCGCATGCACAAAACTTTCTCGCCAGTGGGCGCTCGCGTCTTGAAATCTGTAAAAAGAGCCAGACAATTTACAGTGACAACACAGAAAACACTACGAAAAACCTCATTTTCTCAAGATAAAAATAGAAACTACATACTAAGTTACATACTATCATGAACAATGATTGAAGGAAATATGAATCTTATATATCGGTGAACGAGCTTATAAATTGTAAAAAAACTTTCACAAAAATCGCTTTACAAAGGAAATTAGGCAGATTTCAGCGGGAAAGCTGTGGACAGTGCGTTTTTCACCATTGTTCATGATCACTACTTGATTTTCAGTGCATTATTGTGGTATCAGTTTCTAGAGAAAACAATAGAAATCCTCCATTTACTGTCCCAAACATATTATATAAGGCAATTTGCATATACTGTACATGACTTAAAAGCTTAGCGGTGTATAATAGATCTGAAGGTGTGTTCACTATACAATAATAGTTGCCTGTACTTTTATCTTGTATGATTAAATCAGATCAGAGTAAATTCTGTTAATCCAACCTTTGTGAATGAGACAAGGATGGCTGACCAAGGATTAGGAAGGCTAACACCAGATGAAAGACAAGCTAAAATAAACACACTGCCTCTTGGAAAATACCCAGGTATAGTGGTGTAATGATATTATTATAATAAAGTAAATGGAATGTCACAAGTAAGTCCTAAAATCATGGACAAAATACTTATGCTCACTCCCTCCCCTCCCCTCCCCTCCCCTCCCTCTGGATTCCTGGATTCCGAAACATTGATTTCCGAAACATTGATTTCCGGATTCCAAGGCTTGAGATTCATGACACCAAATTTTTGCTGGATTCTTGATTCTAGATTCCAATTGTTTGGATTCCGCATTCCAGGATACGGATTCCGGATTCCAAAGATTTTCTTTTGCTGGATTCCGGATTCCTAATCGCATGTGTGCAACTGTACTTCGTGTGTTTCATTATGCGCCACAATCATTCATTGCGCATTTTTGTAGTGGTAGTGGTAAGATTCTCAGCCAGTAACCCCAGTGATTATGGATATGTTTTCAAACTTATTATAATTCATAAAATACGATCGTCGGTGATCGTGCGTGCGATCGTTGCATCAGTAACTTCAGGCGATTGTGAGCGATCATAAGGAAACGGGACTTAACGCAAGCTAACGCCAATGTGTTAAACTTTGATTTATAGAAAAAGAAGATGTTGTCAACGCCATTTTGTATCTCCTGAGTGACAAAGCAGCTATGGTTAATGGTGTTAATTTATTGGTCGATGCCGGGCCTTTTGGCCGCTAGACTTTTAGTTATTTTGTTACGAATGAAAGAAAGATGAGTGGATGGATGAGCAAACTAAATATCAAGACGCATTTTGAAAAGAATTTTATTCCATTTTTATTTGTTGTATACTCCTTGTGATTTGACAGAAACAGAACTACCTCATCATTAAAAAATAATAAAGAATTCAGAATCGAAGACAGGCTAGCATGGGCGGCATTGACTTGTAAGGCTGCGTTCATAATGTATACCGCAGGGGGGGCAGGTGAAATTTTTAATTTCCAAAAAAATTTTCAACACCCTGTCCACAAGTAACGAAAAACCCCCCCAAGCAAAAATAAAAAA